ACCTTACCATTCTAACTCCCCTTATCAAATCCTATCAGCTGCTATCATTCCCTGTCACCCATCAATAATGTTCCTGTCCCACGTCCTATATCATACCTTGGAACCAATGTCCCACTGTTACTGTGTCCCGCACTATGGGCTCGGTCACCCTCCCCTTCTAAGGCCCCTTATCGAATCTTATCAGGTGCTATCACATTCTATCACCCACCAAAAGTGTTCCCGTCCTGCCATGTATATCACTTCTTGGAACTGTCGTCCTATCTTTTCTGCGACGCTCGCTATGAATTTCGTGACAGACAGACAGACGCACACACACACACACGCACTTACAGACATACTTAGCGGATTTATGTAGTAGGATAATAGGATAGCTTTTGGAATAGCATCCGCTCCAGCTATCTTCCAGAAGATAATGGAAACAACGTTAGCGGGAATAGAGGGGGTAGTTATTTATTCTGATGACCAGTCGGATCACCCGGCTGCCGCCGGGTGCTCCTCCTTCTTTGTCACGGCCCGGCTTCGCCGGGCCGGCCTGGCTTCGCCACTCTTTCCTTAGGCGAGGTAGAGTGTGCAAAATACGCCTAACCGTCACAGTGCATTTTCCAGCAAAATGTAGAAAAATAATTGAAAATAGCTCGAGCAATGGGTTAAAGTTGAATCAGGCGAGAGGATCGTGCAACATACAGCGCTTTGTTACTTCCGAAATTCTAATGACATCAAAAGAAAGAACTACACCGAGATACTTGACAGTGAATCGTTAAAAAGTGGTGAGAAATCTGATTTTCATCAAATTTAATCAATTGGTATGATTACTTACCACACGTCGTCCTTCCACAAAAACTTTGGAATTTGGTACTTCGAAAGCTCTAACACCTTACGATGACCGCAAGGCCTCTTATCAGTCCCTATCAGTTGTTATGGCTTTTTGTCACCCACCGTTCCTGACCCCATTTCACCCCCTATATCACCTGCTGGAACCAACGCTGACTCTGCGACCCACGGTA